AAGAAATCCCCAGCATCAGCAGCAGCCAGCCATCCAATGCGATGGCAAGTGTGTGGAAACCTTAAAAGAGTACGCCGTCAAAATAGAAAACTTGGAGAAAAGACTGCAAGAGCTTACCATACTAATTGCAAGCCTGACGGAGGCAAAGGGCAGTGGCTCAGCAGCGGCCAATCCTCCAACACAGACTCCAGCAGCAGCACCAGAAGCAGCACCAACACCTACAAGGCCCGCCGCCAATTCACAACCTGACGCCGCAGCCGTATCGGAGGACTCTGATATGGACTGCGAAGCACTCAGCGACGATGGCGACGACCAGTGGACGGACGACGATTCAGTTGACGACGAGATAGCGGATATCCTAGACGACTACGATAGCTACTACTCTGACTACTTTTGATGAGCCCAAAAGTCGGTCCTGAGGCAGCCTGACAATCCACCGCACAGGTCCAGAGCAGCCACTGAAATAATACAAAATGACGTCAATACACTCATCAACACAATATGGACAAAACTCAAAATAATCACACGTACCTGCCACGCCTCCGACAGATCTGCCCCTCCAGCAGCTGCCCCGTCATCAACACCACACATCTGATGCCAATTGGACGACATTTAAGGATTTATTGACGACGCTCCTGACAATCCACCGCACAGGTCCAGAGCAGCCACTGTAAACAAACCAAAACGACGTCAATACACACATCAACACAAAATGGTCCAAATACACACAAAACATACGTACCTGCCACGCCTCCGATAGAGCTGCCTCTCCAGCAGTTGCCACACCAAATTTACCATCCACTTTGTGCCAAATGGGCGAAATTCGAAGGCCATTTCGCCGTCGCCAACAACATCCAGTCACAGGCCGCCGCTAAAATGAGAAAAAACATCAATACACACTTCAACACAAAATGGACCAAACACACATAAAACATACGTACCTGCCACGCCTCCGATAGAGCTGCCTCTCCAGCAGTTGCCACACCAATTTCGCCATCAAATTCCTGCCAAATGGGCGAAATTTGAAGGCCCTATCGTCGTCGCCATCAACATCCAGACTGCCGCTAAAAAGAAGAAAAAACATCAATTCACGCATCAACACAAAATAGCCAATACTTTTACTAATCACACTTACCTGTCAATACACTCACAGATCAGCCTCTCCAGTACCTGCCTCGCCACCAACTGCAACATTGTGTTGCAAGTTGGGCCCAATTTGGACGCCCCTCTGACAACGCTGCCAGCAACCGATGGCCGTGACGTCACGCCATCATCATCACAAAACAGCAGCAGCAGCTGCAGACGACAATGGCCAGCGCGCCATCTCCATCTCCATCTGCATCGACAATGCATCCTGGGTGGCCGGACCAGCAGCCACTCGGATGCAGCCAATCCGCACTCATATGCGGCCATCTCCACTGCGGCCATTTCCACTGGCCAACGTACACCGATTGGCCGGACCAGTGCCAATCCCCAGATCTCCAGGTAGAGGCGGCGTGGGCGGCCGGAACAGAGTCGCTCGCCAAACATCATCACCATCTCCATTCACGCCAACTCCTGGATCCTGCTTCTGCCAATTCTGATGCCGCAGCAACAATCTGCTGCATCACACACTCGTGCACATCCAGCGCTGAGGCGGATGCGCCCTGTGCCATCCACACCACTCCAGACGACGATGATGATCCTCCAGTACCTGAAATAGAAAATAAATAGAATTAAATTAGCCTATAAATGTCATTAATGTTGCAATTTGTCCAAATACTCATCTCTTTGTTTGTATAAATGTACGTCAATAATTGCGAATGTCAAAATAGGGCTACCAGACTGTAATACTGATAGAATGTAAACATGTCTGTAGATGTTAATGTTAATGTTAATGTAATGTTAATGTCAATTGCCCGCAAAAATTCAAAAGAACATCATTGTTGTAAGTTAAGCTTAAATGTAAATTGCCGAAGTTATGGTAATAAGAAAAGCTGGAAATAAACTCCGCCAGTAGCAAAGCTGGCGGGCGAGTGTGCGCATCGTAGGCGTGCACGCGCATCTAATTACATCGGAAAAAAAAGTGACTTGTGTTTTTTGTTGTTTTATGTGGAACTTTAAATGTTTTTAAATACATGTTTAAACCGGGACTAAATTAAATGGAAACTAAATAAACAATATGTGCCAAATAATTGCAAATAATGCAATATAATCATCTGTGATCGTGCCTTAATTCAGGGAAGCCAATAAACCCAACTGAGGAAAGAGGAAGAAAAAGCAAGCTACTGAGTACCTGGACCAGGCCACCAAATGGACGCACTTGCTCCAAATCTGACGACCAATAATATGGATGTTATGGATGCTATGGACAACTCGGCAAGAGCCGAAGCGGGTGGTGAGTGCGTTACTCAAAATAGTGCTACCGATATAATGACCAGGCCCCTGGGAGGGAACCCCTCCGCAAATGCTTCCCTCTTCGAACCAATGTTCGACTCAGAGGGGGATGCGGATCTGGCTGAGTTGGAGACGGACTCGCCAGAGAGTACCCTGAGCTCCTTGGGAGCTACGGTGCTGGAGTTCGAGCGTCGTTTCGTGGACAGGGGTTTATATGTTAGAAAATACCCGCCAATCCCACCAAAAACAGACGCCAACATACAAGAAAAACCGCCAACAAATACACGTACAAACACGCAGACAAAAATAGTTCCCAGCGAAAGTGCAACGGGTTCCAAAAATAGCGGCGCTTTCGCACTAACAAAAGAGCATTTAAGTGCACATAAACAAAACAAGAACAAATGTTATGCCCATATGTTTTCGCGCCAAAACATTAGCGAAAACAAAAACAAGCAAACAACTCACACAAGCATCAGAGAGAGCGACGCTTGCGCTCTCTCGGCAGCCGAACCCTCGGCGCACAATCAAAACGGAGGCTCGTCACATCAAGCCCCAAAGCGTTTGCCGCCAAACATGCACTCACACACTTATGACAAAAAGAGAGATGCTTGCTCTCTCCCGCCGAACCAAAACACAAACACATACAAGAACGAAGCTAGCCTGACCTACGCCAATAACAAAACCGAAACTGTAAACGGCATAAAGAAAAACAATGACCAGCAACAAAGTTTGACGACAGCTGAACGCAATAATTCTAGCAGAAGCAGAAAATGCTTGCTGCCCACTCTGACTCAGGCGGACGAGCATAATACTCAGACAAGGCCTAGTACCAGAACACAACTGGTAAAGGAATGGCTAATTAGCGTTCCCCCGCTACTGGCCAATGATATGCCCTCGCCCCTGCCCATTACCCCTATAGCAAAGGATAAATTGACTACAAATTCGTTTCGCTCGCCGCTCAAAAGAAGATGCGCGGCGATCGAAACGGATACAGATGACGATGACTTCACCTGCCTCACTCTGGACACGCCCATGTTCAAGAGCCAATTCGCGAAAAGGCTGCATCATGAGACTCGGCAGATGGAGTCAGATGCTGGGCAAATACGCACACCGTCAAATAGTGTGGTTCCGGTTCCGGAGGTCCAACATAGGGAGCCCCAAAGGATAGTGGCTGAAAGCCAACAGATGGAGACGGACAACCACCAGCCGCAACATCAGCCAGACATTAGCATAAATATAACGCCAGTCCAACCGTCATTACGCAGCACCAAGGTCCCAACAATCTTCCTGCCCCTGGTGCCTGCAATTATACCCCTGATTAACAAATTGACAACAAATCCGAACGTGGGGAAATTCACGACGAAATCGATGGCCAACAGTGGACTTAGAGTCCACTGCGACGACATGACAACCTACAACGCCATTCAGAACGCCCTAGCTGAAGACAGCACCCAATTGCACACACACCAGCCGCGCAGCGAAAGGGGCTATCGTGTAATAGTGCGACACTTACACCACACCACGCCCAGCAGCTGGATCTCTGAGGAGCTTGAACGACTCGGATTTACTGCGAGGTTTATCCGAGGATTAAAACACCGTTTTAATGGAAGGCCTCTAAACATTTTTGAGGTGGAGATTCAGCCCAAGGCGGATGGTGGCCATGAGGCAATTCTGGACATTAAAAACCTGGCCAATCAATGCGTCTCCATAGTGAGACAAGCCAAGCCACGCGACCCAGCGCAGTGCCATCGGTGCCAGGAGTTTGGGCATACAAAAAACTATTGCAGACGGCCATACAAGTGTATGAAATGCGCAGGAGATCACCCCACAACAGCATGCAGGAAACCCAGGCAGGAGGATCCCAAATGCGCCAACTGTAGCGGCAAGCACGTGAGCTGCTACAAGGGATGTGCCGCCTACAAAAAGGCTCGCAGCCAGTTAAGGGCAAACCGGCTCATCGGTGAGCAGCAGTATCAACAGCAACGCCAGCAGCCACAGCAGCAAACCGAGCAGCAACGCCCACAACAGAAACACAACAAACACCAGCGTACGCAGCAGCAGCAGCAGCATCATCAGCAGCAGTCACAGCAGACGCAACGACAGGGCCGCCAACAACAACAACAGCAGCCAGCAACAATCAGCGGCAGCGGCAGGCCGTCGTACAGCCGGGTAGTACGTAGCGGAATTACTGAGCAGGAGCAGCAGCAGCAGCAGCAACAGCCACGAGCGGACAATCATCAACAGCAGCATCGCCGACCACAGCAACAGCAGCAGCCATATGTCCGTACTGTTGAGCAGCAACATCCATCACAAAGGAAGCGGCCACAGCAGCAGCAGCATCAGCGGCAGCAGCGCGCAAGAGTTGTACAAGGGGCCAAAGCAGCATCAGCATCAACTCCAATAGCAGCAGCAACGCCCAACACCCGCAGGCCCTTGTATAGCCGAGGTGCTCAAGCCAATCCGGCCGAAAATCATTTGGCCAAGTTTCAACAGAAGTTGAGGGATGAACAGCAGCAGCACCACCACCAGCAGCAACAAGATCAGCAAAAAACTCTCCCCGCAAATTTCCAGTCCCATGCCCATAAAGAAAATGCAGAATTTCTCACAAGACTTGAGGCCAAAATCGATAGTCTATTTTCTGCAATAGTCAAATTAATAAACATCAATACAAATAAGACAAGCAAAACAACAAATAGCAGTTCACCAAACTCTTTGGACATGGCCCTGTCCTCCGCCAATGATGCCTTTTATGTTTAGTCCAGTCCCGAACGGCCTGTCAAACCAAAAAGTCAATCCAGTACAGACTATTTCCACCCACAGCGTCAGCCAGAACGGCAACACTTTTAAAATTGCCTTCTGGAACGCGTGTGGTGTGACTAACAAGTTGAACGAGGTCGAAGTTTTCCTGAAAAGGGAAAAAATACAATTAATGATGGTCATCGAAACACGCACAAGGGCCGTCTCTGTGTGCGGATTCCACACTTACACTGCACAAAATCCGGCAAACGATCGCAGAGGGGGAGTAGCCATCCTGGTCCGGGACGATGTCACCCACTCTGCTCTGCAGCCAATTTCAAAGCCATTCATCCAGAGTGCACCTGTCATCGTCTTCACTGAAAAGGAAAATAAAAAGGGAATTATTTTTGCGCCGATCTACTGTCCGCCTGTATTCAAGTGGGCGCCTGCCCATTTTACTGGATTGATAAGACATTTTGAAGAACTCTGCGTCGAAGAAACAGCATCCGGCTTCCTTGTATGCGGTGACTGGAACGCGAAGCATATGTGGTGGGGAAATGCCCGTGGATGCGCCAGAGGGAAAGCACTGATGGAGGCTGTACACACCAACAACGGCTGCAATTTGCTGGCCACCGGTGGTGCCACACACTATCCCTACGACAAAAAAAAGAGACCATCAGCGATTGACTTTGGAATCTACAAAGGTATCAACGACACTCACCTGAGTATCCGTTCAAGCTCGGATTTGGACTCTGATCACTTGCTGCTCAGGGTGGAGTTGACGATCGGCAGCGGTGGACGTAGACATCCTACGCCCACAGTCAGGAAACATCTGCTCCCAGCACGTGCCAATATCAGCCTGTTCCAAAAGTCGCTGGAACGGTTGATCAATCTCAACACCGAGATTAGGATAGCGCAGGACATTGATGACGTCGTTTACTTGTTTTTGAACAATATACGGGTAGCAGCAGCAGCAGCAACAACACAACACCAACAGCAGCATCCAAACACTCATCGAAGATGGCCACAGCAGCGTCAGCATCATCATCAGCAGCGGTCACAGCAACATCACCGGCACCATCACCTCAAGCTGGACGAGGCTACAAGCGAGCTGCTCTCCATCAAACAGCAGTGCAAGAGGATCTGGCTGGCGACCCGCACCATCGAAGCCAGACGAAACTACAGGGCGGCGCAAAATCGTCTTAACAAGGGGCTCACAATCCTGAAAAACAAAAACATCAACAAACTGTTCACAGGGATTGACAACAAAGACCGCTATCAAATGCAGAAACTATGGAAATTGACCAGCACAATCAAAAGGCAGCCGCAGCCAAACTGGCCACTGAGGCTGCCAACTATGACTGGAGGCAAGGCAAGTGTCTCGTGGACAAAGTCAACAGCTGAGACAGCCGATGCCTTTGCTTCTCACCTGGAGGAGAGATTCAGCCCGATACTGTCCAATTCAGATGAAGAACGGGCCGCAATCAACAGAGAGCGTGAGCAGACAAAACGGCAGAAGCAGCTACAACCGGACCAGGAAACCAGGATTCCCTTCAGACCAGTCACACTGCCTGAGCTGATGCAGATTGTGGATGCATTGGAGCTGTCCAAATCACCTGGGGGAGACAAAATCAATAACAAACTGATTAAAAATTTGCCAAAAAAAGCGCTATTATATTTAATACTAATATATAACTCCATTTTCAGGCTGGGCCACTTTCCAAGTCAGTGGAAACATGCCCAGATTAAAATGATTTTAAAACCGGGAAAAAACACAGCAGACATGTGTTCCTACCGGCCAATCAGTCTATTATCTGGCCTTTCAAAGATCTTTGAAAAATTGCTGATGGCGAGACTGTTTGAGGTGGAGAATTTTGCCAAGGCCGTACCCAATTACCAATTTGGATTTCGGCGGGAGCATGGCACTGAACAGCAGCTGGCTCGAGTCACTCAATACATCCTCAAGGCGTATGAGAAAAAACAAGTTTGCTCGGCAATTTTCCTGGACATTTCCGAAGCTTTTGACCGAGTATGGCATGAAGGGCTGCTGTACAAGTTGATGAAGCTGCTGCCTTTAAATTTGTACTGCATTCTGGAGAGCTACCTGGCTGAACGCACTTTTTGTGTGAGCTGCGGAGACGAGGAACTTTCAAGAATCGGGAAAATATCAGCTGGAGTCCCACAGGGCAGTGTTCTTGGACCAATATTATACACAATCTATGCCTCAGACATGCCAATGCCTCACCTCATCCCGGACAGCACTGGCTTCCATCCAGAACGGGAATCAATGCTGCTGTCCACGTATGCCGACGACACGGTGATAATGAGCGCATCTGCAATCCCAAATGTGGCAGTCAAATATAACCAAAGATACCTGACTCACTTCTCTATATGGGCCAAGAAGTGGTGCATTAACATAAATGCGAAAAAAACCGGACATGTAATATTCACACTGAGGACAATTAGATCAACGGACTTAAGGCAAACGCCGACTATAAATGGACAGGCTGTGCCACTTGCCAAATCACACACATATCTGGGCATAAAATTGGACAAAAAACTCACCCTAAGCTCACACATCACGAGGATCTGCACAAAACTCCGATCAAGAGCGGCCAAGCTGGACTGGCTTGCTGGCCCAAAAAGCCGGCTGCCAAACGAAACCAAGGCTATAGTCATCAAGCAGCTCATCATGCCCATTTGGCAATATGGTCTTCCGGTTTGGGGCGCACTTACATCCGATTCCCAGCTGCGACGGGTGCAAAGCCTACAAAATAAAATTATTAGACGGGCAATGAAGGCGACAAGGTTCACCAGGAACGATGCGATAAGACAGACTCACAATCTAGACACAATCGACGAAGTGTTCCATGCGGCAAGTGGGCGCTTCGCCAACTCCTTGGCTTGCCATGTCAATCCGGAGGCTCGGAAACTATTACTGCAGCCGTATGAACCACAGCGATTGCAGAGACCACGTTATCTGCAACAGCTGCTCCAACACTTCCGCCCGCTGCAGCCTCAAAATCAGGATCGGAGCAGCCATCATCATCAACATCCAGATCCGGCCATCTCCGAGGAATCGCTTCCAACGCTGGTCCGTCTCGAAGAGGAGGAGCTGAAAAGAAAGAGACAGGAGGAATCAGACGCCAGGCAATTAAGAAGAATCCAACAACAAAATATCATCAATCCGAACCCCGAAAGGTTCAACGAATCGATGATAAATTGCTTCAGAAAACGATACCTCAGCGGCCAAACTCCCCGAGAAAGAATAGTGGCTCTTATCTTTGGCCAGCCACTTTCTGTCCAAAGGATAATCCTGCCAGATTACGAGGGGGATCCCGATCCAGCGACGCAGCAGCAGACGCAGCAGCAGACTCAGCAGCAGACGCAGCAGCAGACTCAGCAGCAGATGCAGCAGCAGACGCAGCAGCGGACCCAGCAGCAGACGCAGCAGCAGACGCAGCAGCGGACTCAGCAGCAGACACAACAACAGATGCAGCAGCAGACGCAGCAGCGGACTCAGCAGCAGACACGGCAAATTCTGGCGAGCAGCAACCGGCAGACGTCACATCATCGTTGCCAGACACGGGCTGCAAGCAGCAGCTCACGCACCCTGGACGACAGCCATCGACGCAATCCGCAAGAGGCACTCCTGGACCACGGACTGGAGCAAGTCCGACGGCGCCTTGAACGGGTGGTCGACGACGACGACGACGACGACGTCCTAATCATCTCAGATGACGACGACGACGACGTCCAAATCATCACCGATGTCCAATCCATCTCAGATGACGATGACCACAACAACGACGATGATGCCGGCCGGCACATTGCGCACACCGCCACAGTGACTCCGCACTTTGGTGCAGCAAGGCGCCGCTCACTGGGACGCCGCAATCCGGCCGCAGCAAGCCCAATGTTCCTGTGGTGGACATTGTCGTTGTACCTGGTAAATGTAAAAATGACATTAAAATTTGCAAAATTATCCCCTCCACAGAGTAATATAAAACGGCACAAAACTCACCTGAAGCGTGTACAAACACGCTTGCGACACCGGGCGACACCCCTAGTTGCTCCTCTGATCCTTTCTCATGGGCGTCACCACGGCATCCGGCCTCCAGAAGGGCTCCGCGGACGAGAGTCATCACGGCTGCTGGTTGGCTATGAATGCCAATTTGGACACGCTTGCGCCGCACACATGGCGCATCCGAATCCACGCAGGGGTGGTTTTCCTGCACTTCATGGCTGCTGGCAACCATCGCCACACAAATCTGGCCGAATCCCGGGCCACCTGGAGGACCACGGCGATCGCTCCATCCACTCTGCACGGCGCTGTGCATTGTCCACGTCTCCTGCCGCACCTTACACACGCGCTCATCCAGCGCCGTACGGTTGCGCACCGTGCCAAACACTCTGCTCCAGACGACGACGATGATCCAGTACCTGCAAATAGAAATAAAATAGAATTAAATTAAATTAAAATGTAAATAATTGTTCAATATTGTCAATACTTATCTGTTTGTGACCACCTGCTGATTTATGTACGTTAATCCTGTGATTGACACATAAGGGCTGCCAGACCATTAGTTTCATGTTTTAATGTTAATGTTAATGTAATGCTACTGTAATGCTAATGTTAATGTTAACAGCCCGCCAATTTTAAAAATCACATCATTGTTGTAAGTTAAGCTTAAATGTAAATTGCCGAAGTTATGGTAATAAGAAAAGCTGGAAATAAACTCCGCCAGTAGCAAAGCTGGCGGGCGAGTGTGCGCATCGTAGGCGTGCACGCGCATCTAATTACATCGAAAAAAAAAAGTGACTTGTGTTTTTTGTTGTTTTATGTGGAACTTTAAATGTATTAAAATACATGTTTCAACCGGGACTAAATTAAATGGAAACTAAACAAACAATATGTGCCAAATAATTGCAAATAATGCAATATAATCATCTGTAACCGTGCCGTAATAGTGAAGCCAATAAACCCAACTGAGGAAAGAGGAAAAGCAAAGCAACTGAGTACCTGGACCAGGCCACCAAATGGACGCACTTGCTCCAAATCTGACGACCAATAATATGGATGTTATGGATGCTATGGACAACTCGGCAAGAGCCGAAGCGGGTGGTGAGTGCGTTACTCAAAATAGTGCTACCGATATAATGACCAGGCCCCTGGGAGGGAACCCCTCCGCAAATGCTTCCCTCTTCGAACCAATGTTCGACTCAGAGGGGGATGCGGATCTGGCTGAGTTGGAGACGGACTCGCCAGAGAGTACCCTGAGCTCCTTGGGAGCTACGGTGCTGGAGTTCGAGCGTCGTTTCGTGGACAGGGGTTTATATGTTAGAAAATACCCGCCAATCCCACCAAAAACAGACGCCAACATACAAGAAAAACCGCCATCAAATACACGTACAAACACGCAGACAAAAATAGCCCCCAGCGAAAGTGCAACGGGTTCCAAAAATAGCGGCGCTTTCGCTCTTACCAAAGAGCATTTAAGTGCACATAAACATAACAAGAACAAATGTTATGCCCATATGTTTTCGCGCCAAAACATTAGCGAAAACAATAACAATCAAACAACTCACACAAGCATCAGAGAGAGCGACGCTTGCGCTCTCTCGGCAGCCGAACCCTCGGCGCACAATCAAAACGGAGGCTCGTCACATCAAGCCCCAAAGCGTTTGCCGCCAAACATGCACTCACACACTTATGACAAAAAGAGAGATGCTTGCTCTCTCCCGCCGAACCAAAACACAAACACATACAAGAACGAAGCTAGCCTGACCTACGCCAATAACAAAACACAAACAAACACACATACTAGCAGAAGCAGAAAATGCTTGCTGCCTACTCTGACTCAGGCGGACGAGCATAACATACAGACAAGGCCTAGTACCAGAACACAACTGGTAAAGGAATGGCTAATTAGCGTTCCCCCGCTACTGGCCAATGAAATGCCCTCGCCCCTGCCCATTACCCCTATAGCAAAGGATAAATTGACTACAGATTCGTTTCGCTCGCCGCTCAAAAGAAGATGCGCGGCGATCGAAACGGATACTGATGACGATGACTTCACCTGCCTCACTCTGGACACGCCCATGTTCAAGAGCCAATTCGCAAAAAGGCTGCATCATGAGACTCGGCAGATGGAGTCAGATGCTGGGCAAATACGCACACCGTCAAATAGTGTGGTTCCGGTTCCGGAGGTCCAACATAGGGAGCCCCAAAGGATAGAGGCTGAAAGCCAACAGATGGAAACGGACAATCATCAGCCGCAACATCAGCCAGCCATTAGTATAAATATAACGCCCGTCCAACAGTCATTACGCAGCACCAAGGTCCCAACAATCTTCCTGCCCCTGGTGCCTGCAATTATACCCCTGATTAACAAATTGACAATAAATCCAAATGTGGGGAAATTCACAACGAAATCGATGGCCAACAGTGGACTTAGAGTCCACTGCGACGACATTTTAACATACAACGCCATTCAGAACGCCCTAGCTGAAGACAGCACCCAATTGCACACACACCAGCCGCGCAGCGAAAGGGGCTATCGTGTAATAGTGCGTCATTTACATCATACTACTCCCAGCAGCTGGATAACGGAGGAGCTGGAACGGCTCGGATACACTACCCGGTTTATCCGAGGACTCAAACACCGTTTCAATGGGAGGCCTCTAAACATTTTTGAGGTGGAGATTCAGCCCAAGGCGGATGGCGGCCATGAGGCAATTCTGGACATTAAAAACCTGGCCAATCAATGCGTCTCCATAGTGAGACAGGCCAAGCCACGCGATCCAGCGCAGTGCCATCGGTGCCAGGAGTTTGGGCACACAAAAAACTACTGCAGACGGCCATACAAGTGCATGAAATGCGCAGGAGATCACCCCACAACAGCATGCAGGAAACCCAGGCAGGAGGATCCTAAATGCGCGAATTGTAGCGGCAAGCACGTGAGCTGCTACAAGGGTTGTCCCGCCTACAAAAAGGCTCGCAGCCAGTTAAGGGCAAACCGGCTCATCGCTGAGCAGCAAAGGCAGCAGTACCAACAGCAACGCCAGCAGCCACAGCAGCCAACTGACCAACAACGCCCACAAACTCAGCAGCCGAGTCGCCAATCCCAGCAACAACAACAGCAGACAGCAAACACAGGCACCAGAGGCAATGGCAGGCCCTCCTACAGCAGGGTGTTGCGGTCTGGGAATGCTGAGCAGCAGCAGCAGCCACGCGCGGCAGAACGGCAACAGCCGACGAGCAGTCGTCGTCCTTCCCAACAACAGCAGCCTCATATCCCCGCCCCCAAGCAACAGCAGTCATCTCAAAAGAAGCGGCCACAACTCCAACAACAACAGCAGCACTCAAACGGCAGACAGGGGGCCAAACCAGCAGCACCAGCACCAACACCAGCTGCAGCAGCAACGCCCAACACCCGCAGGCCCTTGTATAGCCGAGGAGCGCAAGCCAATCCGGCCGAAAAACATTTGGCCAAGTTCCAGCAAAATCTAAGGGAAGAGCAGCAGCAGCAACATAAACAAAAACAGCAGCAGCGCGGACACAATTTGGGTCGGCAGCACCAGCAGCAGCACCAGCATCGCGGCCATCATTCCCAGCCACAGGCCAAGGGGCGCCAATGCCAGCGCGATCAACGGGTGCAGCCAACTCCAAAACGTTTCCAGACGCCGAGAAATCCCCAGCATCAGCAGCAGCCAGCCATCCAATGCGATGGCAAGTGTGTGGGACTCCTAAAAGAGTACGCCGTCAAAATTGAAAACTTAGAAAAAAAACTGCAAGAACTTACCACATTAATTGCAAGCCTGACGGAGGCAAAGGGCAGTGGCTCAGCAGCGGCCAATCCTCCAACACAGACTCCAGCAGCAGCACCAGAAGCAGCACCAACACCTACAAGGCCCGCCGCCAATTCACAACCTGACGCCGCAGCCGTATCGGAGGACTCTGATATGGACTGCGAAGCACTCAGCGACGACGGCGACGACCAGTGGACGGACGACGATTCAGTTGACGACGAGATAGCGGATATCCTAGACGACTACGATAGCTACTACTCTGACTACTTTTGACGAGCCCAAAAGTCGGTCCTGAGGCAGCCTGACAATCCACCGCACAGGTCCAGAGCAGCCACTGAAACAAACCAAAAATGACGTCAATTCGCATACCAACAAAATATGGACAAAACTCAAAATAATCACACGTACCTGCCACGCCTCCGACAGATCTGCCCCTCCAGCAGCTGCCCCGTCATCAACACCACACATCTGATGCCAATTGGACGACATTTTGGGATTTATTGACGACGCTCCTGACAATCCACCGCACAGGTCCAGAGCAGCCACTGTAAACAAACCAAAATGACGTCAATTCACACATCAACA